TAATATGGTATATGCCATATACGTATAGAATATAGAAGATATAATAGCATAGGCTTATAACGACTTCGACTAACAAGAATTCTGGTTCTCAGACAAACTTCTATCAGTAAACTTATATGGTTGTAGCGTCTTCCCGATATAAAGACGGTTCCTTGAGCGTCGTCATAGCCGGATTCTACTGTGTATATGTGATATGTGCAAGTGATTTATGGGATATACGAAAGATATGTCATATATCTATAAGATATATACGATACATATAAGTGATATATATCGTATATATGTAAGTGATATATGATATACGACATATGTAAGTGACTTATATGAAATATGACATGTATATGTATCATATATGAATGTTTGATGATAGATGTGATATACATATGTGTAAAATATATATGGTATATGTGTGAAAAATATATATGTATAGTCTTTTAGTGATATACTATGCCATATACGTATGTATGGAATGTATGAGATATATGTAAGTGAAACATATGAAATATGCTTAGAATAAATATGTTTTATGTAATATACGTACTACGTAATATAGATGATACGAGAAATTGCCATTTATACATACAGCAACTAAAAGCCCACAAATTTCTTTGTCAGAACTTTTGAGAGAACTAAGCAAACTCAAATGCCAAGGTCGAATCATCTCCCAGCAAAACAATGCGAAACCCTCACATCTCTGCTCACTGAGCACTCGAAAGATCCCTGAATTATTTCTTTGTGCTTTGTGCCAAAAATAAATGCCGGAAGTGGCTGTAGAAGCCTTTGAACGGCTCCTTTTGCAGGTTTTCACAACAGCGTGGCGAAGGTGCTTTAGAAATTGATTCCAGTGAAAGCCGAAGTTTATTGACTTCTGAACCTGAATATTTCCCGAAACAATAATGAAATGTTCATGATTATTTTACTATGTTTTCATTGGGGAAAACAGAAACAGATTCGTGCCGACTGTGGAATACACTTATCTCAGTAGCTTGAAAGACTTAAGAACTAACTACAAGTTGAATTTGAGTGGGAAAGCGATTGGATAACCATGAGAGTAAGTTAAACCTTAAGGAGTTCCCTAATATGTTTTATGTATGTATTTTGGAAGATATAAAACTGAAAAAGAATATTAAGAAAATATATAAGCAATAAATTACAAAAAAGAAAAGACTTTAGTTCTCATTGTTAAGTGAAATAATTATTAGCTAAATATTACGAATATAAAAAAAAGAAAATGGTATGCCAAATTTTTATTAAGTAAAAATTATTCTCATTTATATTAAAGAATTAAAAAAAAGTACTATTATTTCAATATTAGAATATTAAATTTTAAATAATGTATATATAGTTAAAAATTTCAATGTTTGTTTAAGTAAGAATTACTAAGATAATAATTTGGATAAATAAAAAAAGCTGTGCAAACAAATGACCAGAGTTATCAAAGAATTCGCTAAATAAACGTAAAATAATAAATATAAAACTTACTATACATTCAGAAAATATGGTAAAATTTATGTTTTTGTTTAAAATACAAAATTGTTTTTTTTTTTTTTTTAATTTTTATTAAGTACAAAATACAAACTCTTAGATATTAAAACATGTAAAATAGCACATTATTATATATATATTTTTTTTTTTAAATCTTTAAATAATATATTAAAATATAAATTATGGAATAATAGCACATTATTATAATTGTTTTGTTGTAAATCTCTAAATAATATATTAAAATATAAATTATGGAAGAAAAATAAAAACCTTGCAGATTTCAATTTTGTCTGCGTTTATAATTTCTTTTTTGGACACAGAATTAGGCTCACTTAAGATTGGAGCTACAAATTGTATTCTGAGAGGATTATATAAAATACTTACAGTTATTATAAAATAACTGTTAAAGTAACGGCATTAGCCGGACCAAGTGAATGAACTTTTCAAAAGTAAAAACCCAAAATTCTGCTCCTAAAGCAGCTTAAGGCTTGGATAAACAATATTCCATTAAAACCACTCAGGTGAGCCAGTCGCCTCACATCGCTCGTAATTAGACTTTAGAGCGCTTCAATGTCCGTATGCTAAATGTTGTTTATAGTAATCAAAATTTCATTGGCATTTCGTGAGCAAAACAAATGTGAAAGTGAAGCCAAAGGACGAGCCATCTCTAGGCGTTACACACAGTCTGTATGGGTGTGTATGTGTGTGTGTGTGTGTGTGTCTGTGTGATTGTAGCCCAGTAGTGCATTGGAGCAGTGTCTTAGTCGAGGGCTGGCCAATAATAATAATCATATTGTTGGGTGCTCACAGTTGTTGTTGTTGTTTTTTGTTTGTTTGTTGTTTTTTTGTCCTGTGTTTTTTGTTTTGTTTTGTTTTTTTCTGTAGGCGTTCGCCCAAGAACAATGTGCCTGGGCCATGGCGTCCATTGAAAGCCGCAAAACAATAATAATAATAATAATAAGCCGCCTGGCAAGCAGGAAGCCATGTTAATACAAATGTCCCAGTAGCTGAAGCAGCCTCTGCTGACTAACGCAATTGCAAACTGACAATGCGACCCGAAATACCGCCTCCCCCCGCGCCCTTCCCCATTCTCCTCTCCCTATCTCTCTTTCACTCGCTGTGTGTCTGTTGAGTATTTTATGCAATGGGCGGCATTTGGGGATTGGGTCTTGGGATTGGGATTGGGATTGGGATTGAGATTGGTACTGGGATTGGGACTGGGGCCGTGTTGGGGCGTATTTGCTTGTCGGCCCTTTGCATGAACTGCCAAGATCAGCACAAAATTTTTGCAAATTTTATTTTATAGCATTTTCACAAGTGGAAAGTCGTGTCTGTGCCTCTCTCGCTCGCTCGCTCACTCACATTCGCTGTCTCACTCTAGCTGTCCTTCCCAGTAAGTGTGTGTGTGTGTGTGTGTGTGTTTTGGCCATTCGGGCTAAGCAAATAGCTTCGTTTGTTGTTTTGCTCTATCAATATTTGACTTTCGGCTTGTTTTTTGTGGGTGAACCTACGAAATTACCGAGCAACGACAACAACAACAACAACAACAGCAGCAGCAACAAAAGACAAAAATTACAAAAAATAAAAAGCGCAAACGCCAGCACTTGACAGTCCCTGGGAAGTCGAACAACTGCAAAACTCTGTCCCAGCCAAGGCAGCTCACACACACACACACACACACACACACACACACGGCTTGAATTGAGGTACGTATGTATGTGTGAGCGCCTTGACAATGCCAATTGAAAGATATTCTTCTCACATGAGCACACAAATGACAGATGAGCATCTCCGATAAGCCACACACACACACACGTCGTGGCTCGTCGATGTTGTTCAGTATTCAAACTTTTACAGCTATGGAATTTGCAACATTTTACCTAGATATTCTCACCTACAGATGGAAATCTATGCATTTGTATATACTTTACCACATCGAAATTGTTAAGTCGACAATTGATTTGACCCTAGCGAAAATCCCATCTCGTATGACTGTCATCATTTTCTCAATTATCTAGGTTTTTTAACTGTCAAGTTTTTAGAACTTATCTTGATAGTTTCAAATTTTAGATTCCCAATTCTATTTGAGCAGCTGTTAATAAGGAATTATTAGTCTTTTATTGAAACTTAATTATCTTCCAATTAATGGAAGATTTTTGTCTGCTTTTGGTTTACTTTCTTATCTTCTACATGACTATTGCTTAGCTAACCTGTTAGCCTATGCTTTAATTGTGTTACTCTCTATGTTTCTTCTAAAACTTTCAAAAAATCAGTAGCTATACTTTTATCTATAAGCTATGCTTTGCAAGTCTTCTCACTATTGTTCTCTTCATGCTCTCCATTCAGCTACGTAGTCTTTATATATCTTTTGCAAAGCTTGTTTTGTTTCTACTTATGCTCTGCGTTAGGATTCTCTTTATACTTCTTGCCAAACTTCGCCTGCCAGCCTCTTTAATATAATCTTTATTGTTCTCATTCTGTTACTCGTTAAGTTCCTTTATGCTTAGTTTTCTGCTAATCTTAATATTTCTCTTCTCACCATGTCTTGCTCATTTATGCTTCATATTGTGGTTCTCAGTATTATTAGTGTACTTTAGTGATTCATGTGAAGCATATCTCTAAGGTTCTCACTGAACTATATTCACATTTCTCACTATGCTTTTTCCTTTTGTTTTTCACCTTTCACTTTCACTTGTCGTTAAGCTTCTCGCTGCGCTTCTCGTTTATCGCTATTCTAGTATATCCACTATGCTTCTCACTATGCTTGACTTTTCAGCATGCTTCCTACTGAACTTCTCGCTAGGCTTCTTGCTTCCAGTCTTGCCTTTCCATATCTGCTTCTTTCTACTTTTCTTACAATTATTCAGATATGAATTCAGTTAAGTTATTCCTTTAACCGTCATACTTCTCTTTGTGCTTCTCACTTAATGTGGCTTAGTTCATAATATCGCTCAACTAGCTCTCGCTCTGCTCTCTCTTCCTTTCTCTATTCCTCTCTTTCTCTCTCCCTCTGCTCACAGCATGCTCTACGATATTTGTAGTTTCTCTCCTTACACTTCGCGTGCTTCTCGTCACGCTTCTCACTTCGCAATGTATTTATTGCTTGGACTCTCTTGCATTTGGTTAATGAAACTGGCATATCGAGGTGCATGAGTTCATGAGGTCAGCTCATCGATCCATTGTGGTCTGCCGTCTGGCTGCTGTGGCCGTGTCAAAAGGCGAATGGGCCGTGAGCCCTATTGCGGCGCTATCTAAAATCAAGTGCACGAAGTTCACTTGATGTTCTCGCCACCGAAGTAAAGCAAATTTCCGTTTGGTGGAACATCAAATTTATGGCCCACGGCCCGGGCGTAATGGCAGAATGCAGTCCACCTCAGCGGCCAGCCACACATGGCTTCGTCTCCCTCTCTCTCTCTCTCTCGCTCTCACACTTGCTCTCTTCTTTTCTGGCTTTTACTCTGTCATGGATGGTGCTAAGCACTGGTCTGGTCTGGTCTGGTCTGGTGGGCACTTACCAATTGTGGTCAAAACGGTCAGCGAATACAAAAACGCTTTGGCGAAATTCCATTCATGTGGTGGTCCACCCACGCCGCCGCCGCCGCCGCCAGCGAGGCGATGATGATGAAAGTGTGTGTGAAGGAGCACAGCTTCTGTGGCTGGATTGTTGGCTGAACCAGCTGAGCCACCGACGCCCCCCGCCGGGGCAGCAGCACCACCACCAGCCGAATGTCCGCCAGCCACATCGTCGTGTGATAATTGCAGCATAACATCCTCGTTCAGTCTCTTGATTAATTGGTCTTGAAACTTGGCAATTTCAAGTGCGGCTAATCTGTGAGTGAGAGAGAGACAGGAATGAGAGAGAGTGCACATATGTGTGAGTGTGTGTGTGGGAATAAGTGAGTAGTGTGATAGCCAAGAGTGCTGCTTACTTTGTCCAGTTCTCCTTGTAGAGTATGTTGAGAGACACGGTTATGTCCCAGATATTCTCAATGGTGCGCTGCCGTACATCATAAGTATCCGGCGATAAGGCAAACTGCGTCTGCCCCCCATCCATGTCGTTGTCATCCAATCCATAAACAAAGTCATTCGATGCCTGACCATACGCGCCACGCTCAACGCCATGGCTCAGATCCTGTCCCTGTCCCTGGCCCTGGGCAACTGCAGCGGCCACCGTGTCATTGTCCGAGTGTGGTCCGGGCTGTTGTTGATGTAGCTGGTGTTGTTGTTGCTGTTGTTGTTGCTGCTGTGTCGTCTGCGGCGACGACCTTTGCTGCTGATAGATGCCGTTGTCGTTCCCATTGGTGTTGCTGTTGCGCTTGGTGGATGCCAGCGTATGCTGTTGATGCAGCAGCGCCGAGTCCTCGTTCTCGATGGTTAGGAATATAAAGGAGCCTGCAAACAAGAGCAGCAAACGGCATTAGACTCATGAGACCGCACACACACACACGCACACACACACACACAGAGACAGCAGAGTGTTAGCCTCCGAAATAAGCAACGGCAACTCATTTGTATTGTCTGCATTGCCCGGATTGCTTGGATGCAGTTGGGCGGCTCGTCGACTCTGGCCAAACCAAAGTGGGCAGCCTTGGCGGCCACGAGTCGTGCCCGGGCCCATCATCAGCCCTTAAATAGCCCAATTTTATGGGCCAGCCAGTCTCATTGTGTTGCCTTAAATTTCAGCCCACTCAACTGCCCTCAATCTCTGTCAATTGCAATTGACAACAATTTAACAGGAATTTGTTCCAAAATCAATTCTCAGGCTTAGCCCACACAATAATTTCGTAAAAATTTATTCCATCTCAGCTCAGAGTACAACTTTTAAATAGTTATTATTACAGTTATATATTGTAGTATTACTAGGTTTTCGATATGGACATTTTACTTTGACAGAGCAAAAGCTATAAAATTTGTTTTCTGTATTTTGTTTTTTATTTATTATTATTATTTTTTTTTTTTCAATCAGTATGCATTTTCGTAAAATATTTATTCATGGAAAATAACGATGACTTTTGCCATATTAATATTTACTGTTGTGAAATTGCTTCATCCTTGTTTTAATTTGCATAAATATTGAAAATGAACATTTCCTCAATTTGTACTGCAATTGACTATTGATGGCTTAAACAGTTGTTGCTCATGGCTGCTCGGCATTTTGTTATCAGTCTTGATAAGAGACTAACTGATAATAGATAAGGTTATGTTCAGTTCGGTTCCCTTGGCTTTGCCTTTCTAAGTTTTACTTAGTCGACTTTTTATACTCATTCACGAAGTGAATTAGTATATTGGTTTTGTGCAATGTCCG